TGTATAAATATGTTGTGTATATCTTTCATTTTCACTAATAACTCCTCTCATATCTGCTTATTTTGTCTAACCATGGTCCAACATGCCATTATCATTTCCAAATTGTTTTGTTGATGATCCAATCTCAGAAACTTCTCCACCCACGGATGTTGGCCGGAAGCTTCGTGAGGCTCTAAGACAGCAGCTTACCATCATTCATGAACGCATCGAGGCTAAGAAGATCGCCAAGCTAGCCTTGGCTGAAGTCAGGCAACTCATGGCCAAAGAAAAGGAGAACGAAGAGCTAGAACTATGGAAAGAGACATCCGCTAGACTGAAGGAGAGAGTTGCTTCTAAACTGAAGGTGGAGGAGGAGAAAATGGAAAAAGAGGAGATGGAGGAACTCCAAAAGGAGAAGAATAAACATGATGAGAAAAAGGAGATTAAAGAACTGAAAGGAGGAGAGAAGAGGTCTAGAAAAATTCTAAAGAGAGTGGAGGGGAAGGAGACCAAGGAGAGTGAGAACAAGCCTGGCAAAGAAAAATGGAAGAAAAGCAAAGTTAGGAAATCTGCCATAGGAGGCAGCAAATGAAGTAAAGTCATCTCACTGGATGACAGTGGTCCACATTTTGTACTTCAGTGTCATGTTGAAGTTATTTTCTATGAAACGACTATAAAAACCTTACTACAAACGGCATAACCAATCACCTATAACATTATACTGTTAATATACCTATTAAGGAAGCAACCGTGCATGATTCATCCCAAACAGTCCTGATGTGGACATTAGTCACAGGTACACTGGTACAACCAGCCTGAGGTGCAGCATTTCCAAGAGGAATCCACAGAGATTCCTTCAGTCCTTCACAATGACGGTGTCAAGCATGTATTGTTGATCTTATAGGCAGGGTGCTTGGTTCTGCTGACAGGGTGCCCTGTTTAGATGAACAATGAGAACAGAGCGAAGGGACAGGTCTCGGGTTTCTGGTGTCACTGGTTGGTTTAGTGTCACGATAATGTGATGCTAATACATCTTAATGTTTGTAATTTTCTTATTTTTAAGTGTTACTAGACTGCAGTTTCTAGGCCCCAGCTGTGTGTCAGTATAGGTGATCAAAAAGACAAAATATTTGTAAGATAGTTGGATTGTTCTCTTTGCACTGATTGGAACTGCATATAATTGTGTTGTACGTTTTGTGAATGACCGTAACGATCAGTGGCATCAGAAGCATCCGTAATGTGTGTGTGCGCGCGTGTGTGTGCGCATGCAAAAAGTGTCCACTAGTGCACAAAAAAGCAACATTTTACCTAGATTTTCTTTAATTCCACACATTTAACATGTTTTTCACCAAGTTTGTGTAAATTCAGCTGTGGGTTTTCAAGACATTTGAACTTTAATGCACTTTAATACAGAGCGTCAGGTCAGCATTTGTGTTTATAGAGAAATAAAAAACATCACCTCTAGACTTTATTTTACTTGTGTTCAACACTACTCATCTAAATGATGTTTCTCATGAAGCTTGAGGACAATAAGGTGTGGGGTTTTAAAAACATTTCAACTTTAATTCACCTGAACACAAATCGTCTCTTACACCTGCAACGTCACAGTTACTGCTAAACTAACATGCCAAAGACATAGCTCCTCTCAAGCATCCTCCTAACATGAATATATGTTTATGATCAACCCCCCCGGTCAACCACTGCCCCCACTAAGCTGCTAAACTGGCGAGTGAGCAACACAGAGGTGTCTCCATCTCCTCCACCTGTGTACGTTTTCTGCCGAGGCAGGAGGAGACGCACAGAAACAGTGCAGGCAGCAGGCTGCTGCTGCTGGTGGGGAGTTGGAGGTAACCAGGAAAACCTGGAGTGGAGTTTTAGTGGTTTGAGTATTCTCCTATTCAAGTGGACTGGATTTGTTCACGAAGAAAAAGAAACTGTGCCGACTGAACTAATGTTTTATAATAAAAGTGGGGGGTCCAAATGAACTTTTTTTTTTTATGTGGGGGGACTTGTCCCCTTCACATATAATGGTTGTGACTAGGGCATTAACAGAGTACTCAAGTAATCTACACATCGATTCCTAGGACCTCTATCGAGGTTAAAAATTTAACATCGAGTATCCGTAGTGACGTCATATTATGTGACCACTGTATGACCCTAGGGGGCGGTGTTGCACTGTTGCAGGTCACAGAGTATGGTGTGACACCGGGTCCAATCCACCGAACCAGAACAAGTTTTGGTTTAAGTTTAGTTTTTGATGTGCTGCGTGTTTCTTCACGTTTGCAGTTTAATAATAATAACTAATAGTTTAGTTTTTCCTGTGACTTATTTGCAGTATGATAAATGGTAGGAGCATAATATACACTCCCAATGTTTTGTTGGTCTTTTTTTTTGTAAATAAAAACCTTTTTTTGCGGTTTTATTTATTTATTTATTTTTGTATCTTGAGATCTATGACGTCATCAAATACTCGAGTTCTACTCGGGTTTTATTGTGTTAATGTCGAGTTAAAAAATTATATACTCGTTCAACCCCTAGTTGTGACGCCTATGGTAATGATTCTGATTCGGACTCTGTTTCTGGTTAATGGAGCTTTTTTTTTTCTTCATTTATTTAAATCTCTGAAACAAACAGAAGGCTGAGAATTTATTAAGAAGGACTGAATACAGAATTGTTTACAAGAGATGCAGAAACAATCCATGCTCATAATTTCCACACACAGGAAAATATGAATCTCAGCACTTTCTATCACATTATTTCTTTATACTATTTAAATTCAGTTGTACAGTTTGGCTGTCAAGGCTGTCGAAGGTTGTCCTTGCAGCCTCAACGTATGAAATTCTGTGTTTCTTAAATTAAATTGCATTGAATCTCAGTTAAACCTTGTTTTGTCTTTTGGGGAGAAAAAAAATCAACCACATGTATTTTGTGTGTTTTTATTAATTCATGTTAGTGCAGTCAATAAACATGACTTTTTCTGACGAAATCTAAAAATCCTTCAATTTATTTTTATTTTTTTTCAGATATGTTTTTAAATGCTCTCATAACCTCATAGTAACTTTACTACACGCTGGTGTTCCTTGGGAGAAACATCGGCTACACCACAAATACAATGTTTAATTCCATATTCATCATATCATCAATTAATAATTCCTCTCAGTATTTTTTTTTGTTCCTTTTTACCTCAATTCCTTCCTATACTTCAATTTTTACATTAAATCATTAGGTTGTGCTCTGCTTTTATATTTGAGAGCCTCTGGAGATCAACTCACCCTAGCAGTACCAGTACCTCCTCTCGGCCAGACGTTGCTGCGGAGTCCTGCCTCTTGTCTCATCTGGCAAAATTGTTTTAATTTGTATGTGAAAAGCAAAGACTCACTTGTAATGTACACAACTAAACGTTTAGTACTAAAAATGTGTTTGGCATGCATGCAGGCTGCAGAATCAAACATTCCACGGCTGACAGCAGCCGACTGCTGTTGGCTTCACCCATAGTAGGAGGTCATTAGCGGGTGCACCTTGCACACAGCTTGCTGGAATATCAGGTTCTGTAAAAGCAAAACAGAAATTAGTATTCTTACTAGGTAGTTAATTAAAAAAATAAAGATAAAAAAAAAAAAAACCTCCATGTTAAACCGAGAGAGAGCTTGACTGAAAACGAGGCCTCATTTTCAGCTACTAGATCTGGAGGGTCTTCACAAAACTTTAGACTAGAATAAATATTCAAAAAAAGAAATATGGATTTTTTTATTTTTGTTTTTTCTTAAACTGAACGCTCTTAGAATAGAATAGACTTTTATTGTCATCGCACCTGAGTACAACGAAGTGTGGGCTTGCTTCCCAGAGCAAAAGTAAAAGCAGTGTAATATAAAACAAAGCCATACCCCCCCCCCACACACACACACACACACACACACACACACATAGAAATAAATAAATAACTGTATAAAAGGTAATAGTTGCAGATTTCAAACACTTCAAATGTGCATCACAAGCAGATTGATATTACACTAGTTGTCCCTTATTGCACTAATTCAGTTCTTATTACAACTCTTGTTAACTTCAGTAACGGCTGATGGATAAAAACAAATTTTAAATCTGTTTCTTCTCGTCTTGGTTGATCTGTACCTTCTCCCTGATGACCATTTTCTTTTTCCTGAATTCGATGATCAGCTGCTTAGTCTTTGAGGTGTTGATGAGCAGATTGTTCCCCCGGCACTAAGCAGTCAGTTGATCCACCTCGTCTCTGTAGGAGGACTCGCCCCCACACTGATGAGCCCCACCACTGTGGCGTTGTCCACACATGTGACTATGGTGTTTCTGTGGTGAGCAGCAACACCTTGAAGAGGACCCTAATTCATTCTAACTTAAGGAGTTACAATAAAAATCTTTGAATTTGTTATATACCAGTATATTTCAAGCTGAAAGAGCTCCAAAGATTGACTAGTGTGTTGCCGAAATTATTTTTTTAAATAGTATTTTTTAGCAGTGAAATAATGCGGTCAATTAACCCCCACCCCAAGGAACATGAGTGGTCATAAAGTTAAAGTACATTCAGAGGGTTAGTGAACACATCATCAACTTTAGATCTTTTCGGTATTGAAGGTCCATTTGTAAGAATTTACCTTGTGCCAGTATAATGTTGCCAAACCAGTGGAATAATCGTTTTACATCAAGTAAACCCAAATATCAGGCTCTTTGTATGTTCTGAAACAAAAAACCAATGGAAATGAGGGCTGGAGCTTTATTGTGCAGACTAAACAGGATGTTTCAACTCCATCGCGACATCAGAGTCTTCATCACAAGACTGATGAAGACAAACATGCAGATTTTGTTTGCACAACAAAAACTGAAACATTGCTCCAGTCTAACTTTCCATTTTGGATTTATAAACACATTTGTTGTGTGAATTATGTTTCCAGTATGCACAACTTCATGCAAACTCACACAGACACCTGAGCTTCCTGTCTGAACTACACACATTCATGAATGTCATGTCAACATGTGGTCATTCAATGTAGGACTGAAAGAGAAGGCCGTCGTCGCCACTGAACGTAGCCAGGAGGCTGCTGCGCCTGTGGGCTCTGTGGAACCAGAAGCAACACCAGAAGGTACTGCATGTCCACACACGTGCCGCTGGAGACTTTTCTCCTGAAACGTTCTGCAAAGTAAATAAGAGAACACAAATCTGTAGCAAAGTAAGGATGACAGTTTCCTAAATGTTTAGGACATCCTGTATATTCTAAAAATTAAATTCAGAACTGATAAAAATAACAACTTGATAAAACATCAGTAATCTAGATCAATAATCCAGGTAGAACAAAGTTAAGTCAGGTCCTCTGGACGGTTTGTTTTTGTTGAAATGTTTCATCTCATCCAAAAGACTTCATCAGTCGTCGTCGTGGCTCCTCGGACTGATGAAGTCTTTTGGATGGAAGATGAAATGTTCAACAAAAAGAAACCGTCCCGAGGACCTGACTTAATTTTGTTACAACTTGATAAAACATTTTTTTGCCTTTTAGTTGATGGAGTCTGTGTTTTTCACAATAAATCATCTCTGTAAATTCTTTAGGCTTGACTTTAAAGAAGCTGGAGTTTTTAGTCTTGAATAGCTTTTCAGAATTTCTGACCGTCTTTAAAAGTTTTTCTTTTGAAATAGGCACCTTTTCCATTCCTTTTTAGTTCAGTCCTTGAAAAACTAGTTTGAATAAGTCACATAACTCTGGCCTTCAAGTCTTTTAACCTTTACCCAAAGTAAACGGGTGACCCGACGTTGTTTACACACAAAGAAACCAGTCGTAAAACGTATTTACAAACTCTGTAATGACCAGACACGCTGATGGACCAGAGTACTTTACATCAACAGGATGAGTCTCAGAGTTAATAGTCTAAACCTTCCATGTCTCGTGTGTACAATGGTTTCTTACAAACCAGAAGAAACTGGTCACGTTGAAGCATTAACCTTTATTATAACAAGAAGCAGGCTCAGGTGCTGGAAGTTACATCTGCAAAGGATGAGCGCCCTCTGCCTGCCGTACAGTGAGTAAAAAAGGAGGTGGGCAACACTTTTCCCCCAGAAGGCCATATTGACATATTTAAAGCTATCAAAGAGGACTGGAAAATACATTTCATTAAGCTGGATAAATTAGAAGATTTATTAGCATTATTGATATAAAAAAAGTCTCAATTCGTTTTAGTAATATAAGACATGCTCTGTATAAACTGGCTCTTGTGACAACATATTTGTTAGCTTAAATATGAAAAAATAATAAATTACCGTTTGCTTTATACTGTATTTAAGGTTCAGTCTAGTTTTGGAAACACAACTTAAAAACTTTTTTTTTTGTCCAATAGTTTTAGTCTTAATCCAGATGTTTTCAATGTATCTGTCAAACATGTTTAATTTAGGCATCTTTAAGTTTTGTTGATAAAATGTAGGTGTTCATCAACTTATTTAGAAGTTGTTCACTTTTCAGTTAAGGATATTGGGGGCCAGATGGAGATGGTCTAAGGCCATTTTTGGCCCTCTGTCCAACTTCTTAAAAACTCAGAAAGAAAAGAAAATGACTTATTGGCAATACAGTTTCTTTTCTAACGTGAACTTTTGTCCTTAGCTATAGTTGAGCCTGACCCCGTGCCTGTGGAAGATATGGATGAGGACACTGCAGAACCAGGTGTGTGTGTGCGTGCGTGTGTGTAAGCCATCACATGACTATTATTCTGAAAACTGAGCCTAAAGACCTTCCTGATACAGAATATTTATTTGTCCATCCATTCATTTTTTTTAAACTCTTTTCTCCTTTCTGGGAGAGCTGGTGTCTTTCCCCAGCTGTCACTGTGTGATAAAACGAGGGACACCCTGGACAGATCTACAGTCCTTCACCGGGACACATAGAGACAAACAGCCATTCACTCTCTCTCTCACCTAGGGACAATTTAGAGTTACCAATCTGACTAACATGCATGTTTTTAGTCTGTGGGAGGAAACCGGAGTACCAGGAGAAAAAAAACAATTGCACGGAGACCGTGGTGGGCACTGTTTCGCTAATCTGCTAATGGTGAAACTAGCTTTCTCTTTAGTGGGTTAGCGTTTTCTTTAACTATGAAAACCTTTGGCAGCAATAGTTTCCGCTCAATTAAACTCAGTATTTTCAGGTCCACTAATTATTTTAAGACCGTTCCCTACACTAAAAGAGTACAGGAGAGTGGTGCTTTGCACAGAACGATTCTATGCAAAGCCAAGCGCCACTCGGTGATGTTGCCACCCTCACACTGCCTTTTCCTCCTCATATCTAGGGCTGGGCGATATGAGGAAAATCTAATAACCCAATATTATTTTGCTATGTCACAATACACAATATATATCACAATATTTATAAATAACCTCAAGTGTTATTTTAAACTATATAGTATATAAAATGGCTCTGGTGTACTCTATTCAAACAGACCATACATGTTTGGTCAAATAAATAAATAATAACGTCAACTAAACCAGCTGTTTATTTGACGTTTTCTTTGGTGTGTGGCGAGACGTTGACCTACAGAGTTAACAACATTCTTCATTTTGCAGTGGATGACTTCTTCGGTGATGAAATAAATTTGTGGTACTGCTACCTTTTGTGGCAATGGTTTTACGACACGTTTTTCAAATGACCACATTTTGTTCGACATCCTCCTCATAAAATCCAAACCACTGCCAGATTATTGATCCAGTGCCGTTTCTCTTCTGAACTAGTTCATCGGACTCCTCTTCAGTTACCGTCTCATTCAGCCGCTCACCTGAAACTCCCACTTTTGCCATATTTTTTTCAAATTTTCAGGTTGGGAGGGGCAGGGAGTAGTGATGCATTCGTAGCGTGTCAGATAAACAACGCTCAGTGAATTAGATGTAGAACGCTTACTATTTGAATGGCAGTTTATACTCAGTGGTTGCAATAGAGCAATTTAACCATCGTAAATTGAAAAATTTGTGATACATGGAGTATATTTGATACATCGCCCAACCTTACTCATATATACCACAAACAGTCTCTGACTCATTGTGTCAGTTTACAGCCAATAACAGAGACTTTAACATAAATGCTAAACTAAACCAGAGCAAAAAAATAACATGAAAAACACATTTTATCAATCAGAAACTTTGTACACATAATTCCTACACAGCATGCTTTGCAGTGCTCACCCTGTTTCTGGGACCTGACTCTCTCACACGTTTCACATATCTTTAATACAAACTGATTTATTACAGAGAGGATATTGATGATGTGTGTACCGGTAGTTAGTTTTTAAAAGTACCGGTAGTTAACCACAAAGAGGATCTCCAAAGTGAGCTAATTCATTATAATAAATGACACGAGGGAGACGTCCGACATACATTGAATGCATCACTCTGCTTCAGCACAGCAGAGTTCTTCTCCGCCTCTGTGGTTCGGATGGATCGGGTTAATTTCTGAAAGCTCACCTGTGAATGGGACATGGACACTTTACTTGTTATGCATGAACTGTTTTGAGTTGTGTTCACTTACTTTGTCACATTACGGACAGTCTTACATGGTCAGCGACAGCAGTGGATGATAAAAGGTGGCGCTTTAGCGTTAGCTTTCGATAATTCAACAAACAAATGTGTTTAGCGGTTTAGCATTAGCAAAGCTAATTTTTTGTTAGCTTTGCCACCACTGCGTGGAGATAACATGTAAACTCCACACAAAGACCTCAGGTTGGAGGCAAACCTGCAACCTTCTTGCTGTGAGGCAGAAGCCCCCACCACTGTGTTACGATGTAGAATATAAGTCAAATTAAAGTTTTCCTTTCTCGCTCTCTCTCTGGTAGAAAGACAGCCAGCTGGTTCTAAACAAACAAAATGCAAATTGACGCGTGAAAAAAATGAGAATGTTTAGGGTCTTGCATCTTTATTTTATTTATTTATTTTTGGAGAGTCCTAATTCTTTTTAGCAATTGACCTGAAAATACTAGCAATAAGATTTCCACCATTAATAATTATATCCTTCTGAACACTAAGGCTGTGCCAGTCAGTTACTGGTCAGCTAGAGCTCATCCAACATGTCAAAATCAAAATGCTCATTGGCTACAGCTCTGAATCAAATTACCAGATAAAACCATTTGTCTGAACCTACGATTTAAATTGTGTTCATCGTCACAGCATTTAATGCAGAAGCACCCCGGCTAGAAGAAATTCTTTACAAAAATTTCTCATTATTTTGATTAATTTAATTCATTTTACACAGAACTCCTCGAATATGCAGCATTTACATAGAAAACACAAACAGGTTTTTAATAGAATCAAACATGGGTTATTTTTTATATTTATATAAATTAATTTGACTTTTTAAAATAATTTATTATACTTTTTGTTTTACTCAGAGCCTTTTCTGAATATCTTGTTAGCCTTGACTGTTAGACACTGAAAAACATCCATGTTGGGTTAATTTTGAGATTAAGTGACTTTAGGAGAGTGGATGGTTGAGTACTGTTCGGTCCAGTGTGCACCCGCCTCACGTCTGCTGACTCTGGAAATCACCACAACACAAACAAAGAGGAAATGGATAAATGAATGGACCTGATTTGACATATTGTGTTGATGTCCTATTTTATTGAAACCGTGAAGTAAATTTCTTCACTTTTACTGTTCGCACAATGAATGTAATAGAAGTTACTTGGGCAACCAAAACACCTGTCAGTCACATGTTCCAAAGAGTTGCATTACAAAGGATGCTACCTTCTAAGCTGTGTATTGGATCCAGATGTAAACACCTGGAAATTAAAGCTGAAATGTTGCTCTGTTGTATCATATTTATGTGTTGATGTCAAATCAAAATGTTTTTAGTCGACATCAAACAGAAAGAAGTTGGCCTCAGTGGTCCATTGTGTTTAGAGCAGAGTGTATATCTGTGGTTCTCTACTCGTGTGTGAAAATACAGCACAGCTCTCTGCTTCTTTGCTTTAGAGATTCATCCTGAAGTAGCTGCTGAGGTACTAGCATCTGAGCCTGAGCCTGAACCTGAACCGGAACCTGAGCCTGAGCCTGAGCCTGAGCCTGAGCCTGAGCCAGAACCTGAGCCTGAACCAGAACCAGAACCAGAACCAGAACCTATGCAGTATTCCGAGGTTTGTATAGTACTGGGTGTTCATGATTTAATTCTCAGCAGAACTAATTTCAGCTACTAGCAGTCACTTTGGGGTGTTCTTGTTTCAGGGATGCACCAATAATACATTTCATTTGATTGTGATTTAAGCATAAACCGTTGTCCACAGATAATAATGGTCATTTCAACTAAAATTCACACTGTGTAGGGGTCAACATAAGCAGTTTACAGTTGTCCAAGATTACTTATTTTCATCTCGGACAGCCTGATCTCCCCTCAGAGTTGTCCAGTGGACAACCAAGTGAAATAAACACGGATTAAAGTTCTGTCATCGCGATGGATTTCTGTAATTTTGAACATTTTAAAAATGAAACGGGTAAAAGAAACGTGTTGTTTTGTTGCAGTCTTTTTAAAGTCATCTAATGTAATGATGAAACTGGGATTAAACTGAGGCTGCTTTCAACAAATAAAGAGAACCAGACCCACAGTTTGACACAACCAGAGTAGAGCTGGGCGGGTTGTGCTGTCTGAAACACATTGGGTGATCACAGTGTTCTCATCATACACTGTCCACTGCAGGTGAGAGCACCAATCAGTGCTTCATGGACTATTTTCCAAGGAAGACACCTCGCTACCCTAACCAAATGTGGTGACATGTATCCATTCATCCATCCATCCATTATCATCCACTTGTTCTGAAGTCGGGTCTCGGGGGCAGCAGCTTGAGCAGGGAGGTCCAGGCATCTCTTTCCACAGCCACTTCTTCCAGCTCTTCTGGGAGGACTCCAAGATGTTCCCATGCCAACCAAGAGATGTAGTCTCTCCAGTGTGTTCTGGGTCTTCCCTGGGGTCTCATCCCAGTTGGACATGCTCAAAGTACTTCCCTAGGGAGACACCCAGGGGGCAATCTTACCAGATATCTGAACCACCTCAACTGACTCCTTTTGATGTGGAGGAGCAGCTGTTTTACGCTGAGTCTCTCCCAGATAACTGAACTTCTCACCCTCCCAATGTCTCCCAATCACGCTCCTCCAGGTCACACTGTCATTACCCACGTGGGCATTGAAGTCCACCAGCAGAATAAAGGAGTTCCCAGCTGGCACACCTTACAGCGCCCCAAGCATGAACTCCAAGAAGGCTGGATACTCTGCCATTTGGTTCATAGGCACAAAAACAGTCAGAGCCCATCTCCACACCTGAAGGTGCAGGGAAGCTACCCTCTCATCCACTGGGGAAAACTCCAGCACACTGGCACTAAGTGGAGGGGCTAAAAGTAGACCCACACCAGCTTTGCACCTCTCATCATGGGCAACTCCAGGGTGGAATAAAGTCCAGCTCCTCTCAAGGAGGTCAGTTCTAGAGGTTGTGCTGTGCATCGAGGTGAACCCACTATATCTTGTCGGTACCTCTCAACCCCACACACAAGCTCAGGCTCTTTCTCTGCCAAAGAGGTTATGTTCCATGTCCCAAGAGCCAGATTTGGTAAGCCAGGGTCAGAGCGTCAAGGTCCCATCTTTTGGCTACAGCTCATGGCATCATGCACCTGACTTGTATGGCCCCTCCTGCAGGTAGTGAGTCCATACGAAGGCAAACCCATGTTGCTTCTTCAGGTTGAGCCCAACCGGGCCCCATGGGTAGAGACCTGGTCACCAGGCGCTCGCCGACAAGCCCCCACTCCCAGGCCTGGCTCCAGGGTGAGGCCCCGATGACCCATGTCCAGGCAAGGGACACTGAGCTCCTTGATTTGTTTTATCCCTCAAAAGTCTTTGGAATCGCTGTTTGTCTTGCCTATGATGACATGTAATAAATTATTAAATGTTTACGTATTAAACATAAGTTTTCACATGTGACTCAATTCACTGCAGCTGGGGGAAATACCAGAACTGATACATTGTCACCCCTTTCTTTCACACTGCGCCCCAACCTCCCCGGGACTTTTGTATCTAAAATCTGTGTTTTAAAGATTATTGTGTTCTGAGCGTTGTCTTCTTACAGACATGTCCAACTTGTGCGCATGACAAAACTCCAGGTCCTTAAAGGCGACAGTGTCTCAACTGGAGCTCGCTCAGCCTCTTTGTCTCTCACAATGAGGCGCTGCATATGCTGGTTTAGTTCTTATCATTAAACAATATCATACCTGCCAACCATCCTGGATTGAGTGGGACAGTCCTGAATTTTGCTCTCACTGTCCTGCATAAGGGGGAGTGGGACACCCAAATTTCTGGCATTTGACAGAGCTGGCTGGTCTCACCTGTTCATGCCCTGTGTGTATGGGAGGAGGATACAGTGGGGCTGTTTCATGGACTTCCTGCAACATCAGGAGTCAGGTTGCCATAATAAGCCTATATTGGCTGGCTGTGAAGTGCAGGTTCTCAGCTTTCAGAAACCATTAGTATTTTTATGATAGCTCAAACTATCATAAAGTTACAATAATCTAAATTGTTCTTTAAAAAAAACAGTAATCTGCTACACGCTTGGAATACAAGATAAACATTTTATTGTTAAAGTTCAGGTATGTAGGTGCTTGGTCTTTGGGTAGGAGAGCAAAGAGGTGATGGAATGGGTGACAGGGTCTAGCATGATTTTTGTAGCTTTTCTTACACATCTGTCTTTACAGATATGTGCTAGAGATGGGAGAGAGGCAACAATGATCTTCCCTGAATCTATAACAGCTCCCTGTAGTATACCTGCCTGCAGAAAAAACTGCTACCATAGCAGACAGGAATGTAGTGGGCCAGGATATTTTATTTGGTTCCCCTATAGAAACTTGTCATGAACAAAGGACTGGATTTGGCCTTTCAGTCTCTGCATGAAGTGGAGGTTCTGATGGGCTTCTATGTTAGGACCAGTGGTGTTTGTGGACTGGATGATGTCATCTGCCATGTGTATCCCCAGAAACGTAGTGCTGTTGACCCTTTCAAAAGCAGTATTATAAGACCGGAAAGAAACACAAAAACTCAGTGGGATTGTTCCTGGTCTAGTTTCTATGTGCAGAAAAACACAGGGTACTGACAGCATAATTTAGTAATAAATACAGAGAGGAGAATAAGTAAAGACAGCAGCAGAGAGAGGAAACGTAGTCAGTTTGTCCTTTAGTGGTCTTAGTCTATAGTAGCATAACTAAGGGATAGCTCAGGAAACCTAAGCCATTTTATTATTTATTTATTATTTATTAGAAGGTAAATCTTAAGCCTACCATAGTTTTAAATGTAGACAGTGTCACAGACGGAAACTGAAAACTGACTGCACAAGCAAGGAGCCCGATGACTAAAAGCTCTACCTCCCATTCTATTTTAAAAAACTTATGAACCTGCAGTCTGAGAACAAAGTGCTCTGTTCAGAAAATATACCATTGTTTAGTTTTTTCTTTCAGCTGCTCCCTTCTTCAGGGGTTGTCACAGCGAATTAACTCCCATGAAGACTTGACAATTGTTTTTAAGCCTGATGTCCTTCCTTCATCAACCACATGCCACTGAGCTACCACAGCCCTCTGTGTGGAGCAGGGAGCTGCCATCCAGGGCGCCCAGGGGAGCAGATGGTGGGGGTTAAGAGCCTTGCTCAAGGGCCCAGAGTGGGGCAAATGAGGATGGAGACAGGTGTGGGTGCTTCACCTTTCCCACCCACATTTTGATGTTGTCGTTATGGGGAATCGAACCAGCGACCTTCCGATCACAGGCCCACCTTCTCTAATCTATGCACCACCACTCCCGCAAATATACGGGAAACTAGAAAATATCCCATTGTAACTGTGTATTATTGAGGGAAAAGTACATTTAGAGTAGAGGATTAGTTCGTAGTCTAACTTGGAGTTAACTTCCACAAGAAATAAATAATAATAATAATACTACATTTTATTTGTATAGCGCTTTTCTAAATACTCAAAGACGCTTTACATGAGCTAAAAAATGAATAAAAATAAAATCAACCATGTATAACGCATAAAAACACAGTAAAACATTTAAAAAGGGCAAATTTAAACATTAAAAGCAATTTTAAACAGGAGGGTTTTGAGTTATTTCTTAAAAGTGGAGAGATCGGAGCAGGCACGAAGGTGTTGTCAATATTCAATTGATTTTTGAAACACAGTTGATATGTGGTTGGTATTTGACATATTAGGTGATGGAGGAGGATCCGGAGGTTCTGGAGGAGGAGCTTCCTGTTGAAGAGGAGGAGCTTTCTTTTGAAGAGGAGCTTTCTTTTGAAGAGGAGCGTCCTGTTGAAGAGGAGGAGCGTCCTGTTGAAGAGGAGGAGCTTCCTGTTGAAGAGGAGGAGCTTCCTGTTGAAGAGGAGGAGCGTCCTGTTGAACAGGAGGAGCTTCCTGTTGAACAGGAGGAGCTTCCTGCTGAGGAGGTACAGTATTTTTATTTTGTTGCAGTGATTTCATTGACTACTGGTGATGTTTTACCTTAATGTAGGATTTCAGCATAAGAACACAAAATCAGCTTTATGTTCTTTAGCCTCTTATTTTTCAAACAGCTATATTTCTGTCTCATCACCTATCCTTTACACAAGGTCTTGTGTTTGTAATGCTTCTTTAAATTCCTACCACAATTTTGAAAACTTTGTTTAAGATGTAAATAAAACCAGAATTTAATGATTTGCAAATCTCTCAAACCTATATTTTATTCACAATGGAACTTAGATGCATAAATGTTTAAACTAAGAAATTGTACTTTTATCCTCCTAAGACCTGGACTCTTGCATATGTGGATGCCAGGTCCTAGGAGGTTAAACAAAAATGACTCAGCGTGAGGAAAACTGAGCACTACCTCTGTTACTGTTTAGCTAGCACATCTGTATTGCACGCTGCTGGCTTTGCGCTACGTCAGTGCAGGCATTTGTCCGGGGGGGGGGGATGGCCACTAGTCCTGAGCCTGGTTCTGCTTGAGGTTTTTTTTCTCATGAGGGAGTTTTTCCTTTCCACTGTTGCATCTGTGCTCGCTTAGGATGGGAGACTGTGACGAAGAGAAAACTCAAAGCGATTTGCTGGCTCCTTAGAGAAATATCGTTATTTGATTTTATGTATATGAATGTTTCTGTTCTGTGCCCTGAGACGACTTCTGTTCTGAATTGGTGCTATAGAAATAAACTGAATCAAATTGTGTAATGGTAGAGGTAACACTGCGTTTACTATGTTTCATTGTGAATAAAATGTGGGTTTATGAGATCTGCAAACAATTCCATTATATTTTTACTTAGATTTTATGCAACAGCCCAACTTTTTCAGAACTGAGGCTCTACGACAAACATTTACTTTCTAGTTGTAGAAACAAGTTTTACTACTTCTGTTTTTTAAGCTTTTGAAAGATTCTGGAAAATGTATGAAAATTTACATACATGCTCAGTGTCAGAGTCAGAGAGATTTATTTGTCATACACACCACATGTGGTGGAATGAGATTATGTTAGTTTCAGTTGTCATGAAAGAATTTTAGCACGTTTCTGAGTAGTTCAAGTTCAGAGGAATGCTTATTTTCCGAGTTCTTTTATTTTCCCAGTGGTTTTGCTCTCGTGTCTCTTCTTGAAAGTGATGAATATTTTTCCTTCTCTAAATGATTCAGATGGCTCCTGCTGCAGATGAACCAGCCGCTGAGGAAAGGCTAGAAGAAGCAGCAGCTGAGGAAGAAGAAACATTTGAGGAGATCAGTGAGACTTTAAAAGAAGAGAGTGCTGCTCCTCAAGTTGCTGAACAAGAAGAAGCTCCTACAGAAGGAGCTGAGGAGGAGGAGGCAACTGCACATGCAGAAGTAGCAGCTGAAGAGGAAGCAGCTGTAGAAGAGGAGGAAGAGGAACTAGGCCTCTCAGAAGATGTTGCTGAAAAGGAGGAATCAACTATAGATTTAGCTGTGGACAATCTAAAAGAAATAGAGAAATTACAAGAAATGGAGGCTTCTCTTTTAGAGGAGCTTGGTGAGGTGCTGGCTGAGGAGCAGGAAGCCCTGTCAGAGGAACCCTCTGTAGAAGAGGCAACCACTGAGGAGCCAGCTGAAGAGGAGGAAACGCCTCCAGAAGAGGAGACATATGAAGCTGAGACTGAGGAAACTCCAGAAGAAGAAATGGAGGTTCAAACGGAAGCAGGTGAGACAAAGTATTCAAAACTGTTGGGTTGCCACGTTTTAGCTTTGATCCTTCTGTTAACAAAATAAGTTTCTATCTATTAAATAAATTGTCTGCTTTTAGCATAAATAACATCAAAATCAAATATTTTATTTAATCAGACAAATCCCTTTGAGATCAAATATCTCTCTTACAAGGGAGGCCTGGGCCTGAAGGCAGTCTAACATGCATGTTTTGTTGTTGTTGTTGTTGTTGTTGTTGTTGTTGTTGTTGTTGTTGTTTGTTAGTTTGTGTTTTGTTTTTTGGAATCGGGAGTACCCAGAGAAAACCCATGCAAATGTGAGAAGAACATGCAAACTCTACAGAGAAAGACCCCTGGTCCAACCTGGGGATTGAAACCAGGACCTTCTTGCTGTGAGGCATCAGTGTTAACCACTAAGCCATCATGCTGCCCTCATATTGATAGCTCTGTTGGCCAGGCTATTATACCAGCTGGGTATCTGATGACTGGCACTGCAGACATGTTGATGGCACTGACTTTGTTCTTGCCATTCAGCTGGCTCTTCAGGACCCGTCACTCTCTGTACGTAAAGAAAACTTCAAGTCTGATTTTATGGCATTTAAGGACTACAGTGGGCAGAGCGGCTAGAAGACGATGACTACTGTAATTTCTGGACTATTGAGCGCACCTGAATATAAGCAGCACCAGCTAAATTTAAAAAGAAAATAAAAAAATTACATAAATAGGCCGCACTTTATAAGCAGAAATATCTGCCATAAATGTTGCAAAAAAACATTGATTTATAAATCTGGAATTTAAAGTTTGGAGAAAAATTACATTTTTAATGAAAATGTGAAGGAACTGTGCAGATATCCATTAAACATTATTGTGTTTATAAGGCATGTTTCTGTATACCCGTTGAAAGAAGGATGTATTATGGTATAGTCTCTTTACATAGGTTTGTAAACTTTCTCTTGTCCCATCCATAACTTCAAGGTAATTCAAAAACTTCATACACGTATGCATCATCACTAGACACGTACAATTTTCATCACCCCAGCGGCAAATCAAGGTCAAATGTTGTACAAGCTCTTTGATTTTCTGGCCATTGCTATTGATTGCTGTATTGTTGTATGAGTTTTGGTCGACAAGTGTAAAATGTACGGTATGCAGTGCTCTTGTTTTCACCGGTATTGACATTTAACAGTAGTAATAAGTGAACTGTTGGAGCTGAATCCAGTTCAGAAGGGTCAGTTCTTTGTTGGTACTCCTTTAACTTAAAGAAAGAACCATTTTGGTGTGGGTGTTATTAGTATCTGTTTCTTAGTATGGCATGTTTGGCATGGTTTTGGTTTGAAGCTAAGAAAAAAGAATTTCATTATTTTTTATTTACTTATTACTTATGTACGTACTTCACTTATCGTATTTTCCGCCGTACACGTCGCTCCGCCCTATAAGTTGTAGTGAGTCACGTGAGGTACGTGTCACTTGTTGTATGACAAATATATGGATATATATTTATGCATACTTTTCACGAGTTCTTCATCTTTCTGACTGTGTAATGCCGTGCATTGAATTTAAAGGAATGCGAACAAGAGACGTTATTACCTTTGACCCATCAAATGAATGGAATCATTTATTTTCAGAATCAAAGTTTAACATCAAACATTTACATTAATTTGGCAAAATATGAAAATAATAACAGACAGTTTCACAAATAATGAACTTCAAATCACTCGGCGGTGATTTGAGGACTTTGCTTCAGATATTTCTAAAAATATCTGCACTGATTTATGAGAGAGAGGTGAGTTTAAGAGTAAATTGAGATTTATCTTACAGAGGAAATATGTGAGGGAAATTTAATCTGTTTAACCAGAAATTGCACGCTCCGTCCGATCTCAGCTTCTCACGGTACACTTGGTCAAAATAGAACCATCTACCTGTTGATGATGAATCAGCGTCGGAGTAGTTCCTTTCTGACTCGTTTCAGCGTCTCCGTCGAGAACTACCAAACCTTCAGAGAGTCGTGCGTAGTTAGCTCAAAACAGAATTATAATCCCAAAAACCTCTGGATTCTTCATTGCTCTCTTGGACTCTTCATTGCTCTGAAACTTTCAGAACCGGCTGCACTCTCAATCTCAATCTCAATCTCAATCTGACATGAACTGGGAAGTTGCCACATTTTATTTGGGTCGACTTCCTGTTCAATTTAGAGCTTTCTGATTCGTGGAAGGACCAGAAAGAGGAGTGGTTTTGACGTAAGGTGTTTATCAACAGTCGAGGTCAGAGAATGAAATTTGTTTTCACATACAGAAAAGATTATTGCAGCAACAGCAGACTTCGTGGAGTCAACTCTTGGTAATCTTCTGAAAAAGTTTAAACATGACATTTTTCTCGGTAAACATTTTAGTTGACCGAAAACCAACCTTTCACATACTTACGACTTGACTCATTTCAGACAGAAAATCAAGGAATGCTTATTCAGGTGATTTCTTCTTGGAATGAGGAATAAAAATCATTACTTACTGTTTATGTAAAATAAAGATGAGTAGTTCTTTTCAACCTATAAGCATTGAGTGAACTAACACAATTTGATTATCAAAACATTTGTAAGACAGTAATGATTATAAAGAATTGTCTTTTCTGCTTGATTAATTCAAGAAAGAAAGTCATCAGATGGCCCAGACTTATTCAGATCAATGAAAATAACAGTCTCTGTCCATCTGGTAGATTTGAGGTCATCTGGTTCACTACAAAGTCGCATCAGTCCATATTTGTCTAATAAAGTGGAAAAATCCATAAATATGTCGGTTCGTCGTATACGTCGCATCTATTATGCGTCGCTGCTGACGCATCGCGTTTGTTATGCGTCACTGCTGAGAACACAGAAATGTGGACCGGTGTTGTGCCAAAAATCGATGGGCTGCCAAATGGCAGCCGCGGGAGTGTGCACAGGAGGACTTTAACAAGAATTTAACAATATAAACACTTAAAAACAATTGTTTGTTTGCTCGAAATTATAGCAAAGGTGTGTCTCAGTTGAACTTTTACTTAATAAATGCACTTTATTGGTCAAATTAGCTGCATTTTGATGGAACGGTGCAGCTGATTTGGCAGTCGGTCTAAGCAGCGAGCAGAACGAAGATGGTGGCACTATGGAAGGCAGATTGTGTCATTAATAGCTGGTGAAGATTCTCAGTCATCCAGGACATGGTAAATGCAAAAAAGTTCAAGAAAAAAACAAGAAAGTATAAAATAAAGTCTAATAAATAAAATCCAGTTGTTTTTGTGTTGATCTTTTTTTAATTTGTCATTATAGCCACGTTTACCTATTTATTACATGATACAACTGCATGCCATATTGCTACTACTACTCTGCTGCCATCAAGTGGCTGAAAGTGGTACTGCTTAAATATATATATTTTTTTTTCAGTCAGAATGAATGAAAACAGTCATATCTCAGCCAAAAAAAAATTGGTTTATAAATATGGGGAAAAATCCATAAATATGTCCAGTGTTTCCCCTACCATTATACAAGGGGGACGCCCCGCCCCGTCAACAGAACCGAGTGCCCCATCTATCGAACCCCAACCCCCACCCACCTGTCAGCACTGACGTAACTCTAAACTAGCGGCTCGCAATGCAGGTGCACTAGCTAAAAAGCTAAAGGCAGCCTCTTTCTTCATGTTGAACCCTCATGCTGAACGCACCCCCACCACTCGAAAACTGTCGGTACAAACAGCGGCTCAGATGCACGTCTGTCTCAGCCCCCACCACCCCACCACCAAAAAACAAAACAAAAACAGTCTGTTCAGACAGTGCGTGGCTGAGATGTCTCTGTCATCTCACACACCCTGCACTAAAACTGTCGGTGCAAACGGCGCTCGACTGTCTCTGTGTCCCCCACCCCCCATCTAAAACTGTTGGTTTAAACTGCGCACTGCGCTGCTTAGGACGTATCTCCATCTGCACCCCCCATCCCCCCCGAACAAAAATCACAGACTAGATGAGCGCCCCGCCATGGCAAGTTATCTAGGGAAACGCTGATGTCGCTTCGGCGTATAAGTCGCAGGGCATGTAAATTATGCAAAAAACTGTGACTTATAGGGCGGAAAATACGGTACTTACTTCAGTTACTTACTTTACTGGTGTTGAGTGTTTGACATGTTTTGTCTTTTTCTCCCATTAAGTTAAATCATTCACAGAAGATGTTTCAAACTGAAGCAGACAAAGCTGAGGAGGCCTGAGCTTGCATTCATCTGGACTCAGTTTTGTGGTTTACTGTATGTAGCAGAGTAGTGTTTTCTGTTCTAATTTTTGTGTGCATGTTTCTTTACAGCAGAAATGGAGGTCCAGAATCAAGATGAGCCCACAGGTAAATGCAGCTTTCAGTCATTGCTTCTGTAGAGTGAACACATGGCAGTGATGAGACGATGTTTGATTCAGTTTTGATTGATTAGGTTTTAAATACCTGATATTATACTTGATGGATACTTTTAGCTGAGTAGATTACAACAGTTTTATGCTGGAAGGGAGTCATAAGGGACCTCTGTAGAGCTAAATCTCACAATGGTAGAGCGTACTGTACATTCCTAAATGCAGAGCAGAGCTCTTTATTTTCACACTCAGGATCCTGCTCGCCACACTTGAAGCATTCCTGCGTGTTTGAAAAGTTGGTGTTTTTCCAGAAAGAAAACTGTCTCTGCTCACAGATGTACCATTGCATGGCCAATTTCCTGTGCTTTTGTTAGATTCCTCCTTCCTGATGCTACAACTTCCTCTGAGAGCATTCCTGATATTTTTCTCCTCGCTTTTGTACTCCTGCAACCCCCACCCCTCCCTGTCAGAAATCAGCCAATAAAATGACATTTTGTAGCCCTCAATTGTGTTTACCCACTTCTTCCTTTTTGGGTCGCGGGGGTCACTGGTGCCCATGTCCAGCAGTCACTATGTGAGAAGGGGGGTGGGGATACCCTGAACAGATCTCCAGTCCATCACAGGGACACATAGAGACAAACGAGACAAACAAGCATTCACTCTCTCACTCACACCTAGAGACGATTTAGAGTTACCAATCAGTCTAACATGCATGTTTTGGGTCTGTGGGAGGAAACTGGAGTACCAGGAGAAAACCCACGCAGCACGGAGAGAACATGCAAACTCCACCCAGGAAGGTCTCTGGCCGGGATCTGATCCGATGACCTTCTCGCTGAGAGGCAACATCTCTACCATCTCCGCCACCATGCCACCCTACTTACAACTAGTACTATTACTCATTCCCATTTGAATATTTTGCACCAAAATTTTAAGGTTTACTTCCAGTTCCTGTTCAATTCCAGTCTAGACAAACGCTTATCTAGAAAACTTAAAAACATTTCATTCAAAACCTTCAGGGGCGACGGGACAATGGCGTAATGCTTGTCTTTTTTTAAACGAGACTCTGGGGCAGACTCAAAAGTCACTAGAGGGTTTATCCATCCTGTCTGGCCTGGGAACACCCTGGGATCCACCAGAAAGAGAGTGATAGATAGATTTCCTTCCCAGACTTGTCTTGTTTGTCTCTATGTGCTCCTGTGATGGACTTGCAATCTGTTCAGGGTGTCCCCCGCCTCTTGCGCAGTGACTGCTGGATATAGACACCAGTGACCCCCGCGACCTGAAAAGGAAGAAGCGGGTAAAGATAATGGGTGGATGGATGGATGGATGGATGGATGGATGGATAGATAGACAGACGGACTTGTTGCCTTCATGACCCAACCATGGATTAGTGAAAGTGGTTGGATATCCTCTCAAAAGACATTGCCTGAGGTCGTTGCAAGGTTTTGCATGAGAATAAAAATAATAATCACAGATTTGAAGAGAACTTTGCAGTGTCTGCAGTGCTCAGGTCTAATTCTTTAAGCGTACCAACACATCTGTCCCTACGATTTTAGCATACCTTTGGAAAATAAACAAGAAATACTTCACATTTTTTTGTTTACTCCATCATGCATGCAGGTGCCGGTTATACATTAGACAGTTGCTTTTAAGTCAGAGCAGACTACATGTTGAGGAGACTCTGATCTTCTAGAGTTCAGAGATAGTGGGGGGTGGGGGGGGCGTGTATTGAAGACATTCTCTGACACAGCTGTGGTTCTATGGTATGGTCAGCTGGAGCAGCAGCTTAACCAGTTGGATAAACACACTAAACCTTAATCAGCTCATGGTAAATGAAACATTGTTTAATTTTCCCAACTTTTTGGAACAAGTTAAGCAAACCGGGTCATTTGAAGACAAACAAACTTTGTAACGGCATCGAGTGCCAACGAGTACGGCTCATTCTTCAACAGGAAGGACAAGCCATCTGAAACTGCAAGAATTTACTCCTAACACTTTATTAAAGTGGCAAAGTAAATTTTAAGCGTAATAAATCTGTGATCTTGTCAATATTCTACTAATAAGGTTGCAAACATGTTATTCATGAGGCTAGGACCATGATAAGTTGGGATCATGTATTTTCCGTGTAGATATTAAAGAGTATGGAGTGCAACGTATGAAGTTAGAGACAAGAACTGAAGACCAAATTATTCAGGAACTGAGCCCAAACCCCACCTTATTCTGGTTAGAGATTCATGAGTCTAACAGCCTCAGGGTAGAAGCTGTTCCTCAGTCTAGTGGTTCTACACTTAATGCTTCTCAACCTCCTTCCTGAGGGGAGCGGGGCAAAAAGTGTGTGTGCTGGGTGAGTGGGGTCCTTCATGATGCAGGTGGCCCTCTTCCTGCATCTGGAGGTGTAGATGTCTGTGATGGTGGGGAGGCTGACACCAACAGTCTTCTGTGCAGCCTTCACCACTCTCTGCAAAGCTTTTCTTTCTGCAGCTGTGCAGCCTCCATGCCACACATTGATGCTGGAGCACAGGATGCTCTTCCGCTCACAGCTCTCAGCCAACAAAGAAACTCTTATCAACAAGCCCAACTGGATCTGTCACTAATTATTTGTAATGTTTTTACAATAAATTAATTGAATTGATAATTAATGTTAACTTCATTTAACAATCATGTAAAACAACTAGAAGTAGAAGGTAAATAAGGACAATATGTTTTATAAGTAATTATCTAAACTAGATCTGAGTCGGTCAATAACACACACAGCTCAGAAGTTACATATAAGGGTATTACATAACAGTACTGGAATAATGTATATTTATTATTATTTACAGTGAGGAAAACAAGTATTTGAACACCCTACGACTTTGCAAGTTCTCCCACTTAGAAATCATGGAGGGGTCTGAAATTTTTATCTTAGGTGCATGTCCACTGTGAGAGACATAATCTAAAAAAAATCTGGAAATCACAATGTATGATTTTTTAATAATTTATTTGTGTGTTACTGCTGCAAATAATTATTTGAACACCTGCTAATCAGCAACAGTTCTGGCCCTCAAAAACCTGTTAGTCCTCCTCTAAAAAGTCCACCTCCACTCCACTGATTATCCTAAATTAGAAGCACCTGTTTGAGGTTGGTAGCTGCATAAAGACACCTGTCCACCCCACACAATCAGTAAGACTCCAACTACTAACATGGCTAAGACCAAAGAGCTGTCCAAAGACACCAGAGACAAAACTGTAGACCTCCACTAGGCTGGAAAGGACTACGGGGCAATTGCCAAGCAGCTTGGTGAAAAAAGATCAACTGTTGGAACAAAAAAAAAAGTCCATGCTCAATAATCCAGGTATACAATTCAACAATTTTCAGTCAGGTCATCTGGACAGATAAAGTATAAAGAATACATAAAAGAAAATGGTATTAAAAATGAAACAAAGCGATAAACGAACCGCAAAGTCGTGAGGGACGACTGTACTAAAAACAGGAACATGTCTGAATTGGTTTTTGCCATGAACTTAACAGATGTTTGAAGCCACTTAGAGGTCAAGGTCAAGAGCTTCAGGTCTTTTTGTAAGATATTCCAGGAAACAGGAGCAAAGTAGAAGGTCCTTTTGCCTAGTTCAGTCCTCACTGAGGGGACACTGCAGGTAATAATGTCCTGAGAGCGCACGCTGTAGCTGCACTCACACAGAGACATGTAGGAGGAGATGTATGAAGGCAGCAGACCAAGAAGTGATTTAAAGATGAAAATGTACCAGTGAGAGAGTCTGTGTGAAGTTAATGATGTCCAGTTAACCAGTGAATACAGGGTGCAGTGGTGGGTACGATAATCACAGCCAGTTATGAATCTTAGTGCACCATGATAGACAGCATCCAACATCTGCAGGGTTCTTGTAGGAGCGTTCATGTAAATAATGTTACCGTAATCAATGGAGGGAAGGAAAGTCACAGATACAAGACGTTTCCTAGCATTAAACAGGAGTTAAACAGGATCTGTTTCTGAAAAAGAAACCCAGTTTAACTTTCAGGTTCCTTACTAGGTTTTGCACGTGGAGCTTAAAAGAGCGATGCTTGGTTACGTGTGGTTAATTATTAGCTTCAGTTCTGGTGGGATCACATTCACATCGAGGTAAATAAGATAAACTCTGCTGACTTGTGAAACGAGACTTGTTTTCTTTTTGTTTGGTACAACCGTAGTGCACATAGCTTTGTGACATTTCTACGTTGTTATACATATTAGATAGTTTATATACATTCTATTATATTAATATAATCTTAAGTAATTTTTAGTTTTTACATGATTTGCCCTTACTGTTGACTATTTTGCCAATATCTACAACAATGCTAAGTCCAGGTTCTTGCCCTGTTATGGCTCCCGTCCTTCCAGTGAGTCACAAAGTCACATGACCAATGCTCTGTCTAGGTGTCTTATTCAACTCTATGGTCCGAACACTTTAGTTCATATGATGAATCTCAGCTCATCTATCTGTTAGTACTAAACTTAAATTATTCAAATGATTGTGTTTATTGACACCCACGTATGATCGAGCTTACATCAGGACTTTTATTAACCATTTTGGCCCGGTTGTCCTCAGGCTGTATCGGTGAATAAGCGGCCATCAGGGCTTTAATGATTGTTATGCATAGGCCTGTCACTATAAATCAATTAATCTCATGATAAATGAAAATGATCAACTTCATTTTCATTTATCAGTTTTATCGTTCCTTCGTGTCTCTCTTTCTACTGAAGACACTGGATGACAAAATGCTCAACTTCTGTGCTCTTCACTGACCCCTCCCTTTCTCTCTTCTCTTTAAAATCTGTTTTAACCGTCCCAAAATCGCGTTTTTGGATCGTTAAAAACAGCTAAGCTGAGAAGCTAAGCTACGAGCTAAGCTAACAGGCTAACCTCGGGGAAAAAACCTCCGTCTTGTCGAAACTCCAAAATTCACGGTTGAAACCCGTGCCTTCATGTAAAAAGTTGTTTTTCCTCTGCAAAAAGAAGCTGAGGACTTGTTTAGTGATTTTTAAAAATTTTTTATTAAAAGCTTTGTGTGAAAAATGTTATGCTAAAGAGCTCAAACCACACTGAGTGGCCGTCATTTTGAGAACTGAAAAAAGGGAGAGAGAGCCCATGTCACATCAAAGGGCCTCCCTCTCATTTTTCTTAGAGACACGCTGCTCCCTCCCTCACTATCCATCCTTCGGTTCAAACAGTCTTATACTGCCATCGGTGGTCAAAAAAAGTTATACACACAAAAATTAACCAACATTTCTTCATAAATTTGACAATTACTCATTACTATAAGGGCAGCACGGTGGCGCAACTAGTAGAGCTGCTGCCTCTCAGCGAGCAGGTCCCTGGTTCAAATCCCAGTACGGGGGCCTTTCTGGGTGGAGTTTGCATGTTCTCTCTTTGCATGCGTGGGTTTTCTCCGGGTGCTCCGGTTTCCTCCCACAGATCAAAAACATGCATGTTAGACTGATTGGTAACTCTAAATTGTCCCTAGGTGTGAGTGAGAGAGTGAATGGTTGTTGGTCTTGTTTGTCTCCATGTGTCCCTGTGATGGACCTGTCCAGGGTGTCCCCCGCCCCTCGCACAGTGATGGCTGGACATGGGCACCAGCGACCCCCGTGACCCAAAATGGAACAAACGGGTAAAGATAATGGATGGAAAGATAATGGATAATTACTGTAAAATTTCAAACAATATTATCGTTTATCACAATAATTTCTGAGACGATTAATTGCCCAGCAAAATTTGTTATTGTGACAGGCCTAGTTATGCACTGATGATCGATTGTTAGACTGATGGTCCCTTTCTACATGTGAAAAGCGAGTTTCTGGAATTCCACAGCAGGTTGGCTTGAACCACTTTACAAAGGTGCTACTTATACGACAGAGCTGGTTGGTGGGCCTCACTGATGAAGTTTTCAGATGAAAGAAGAAACGTTTCTACCAAGAAAACTGTCCAGATGACAAGATTTAACTCTTTGTTGTCGTATGATAATTAGTAATAAGACCTTTAAAAATGACAGAGATGTTTGAGTTCTGACGGGCCTGTTTCCCACAGAAACGTAGAAGCAGCAGCGCTCGCGGTGCAGGTGGAGCAGACCCGCTGACGGATCAGCACCATCTGAGCACGCTCCGCTCTCCAAATCCAGGGAAACCATCGAGTCGTCGTGACAACGCTCTCTCCTGTTCTTCAGTCCTCCTGTAAGATGTTTAAGTGAGAAATGTTTTAGTGATCTTTAACTGTGTGGTTTTTTTTTTTTTTTATCGGAACCTTGTGTGTTTCCTCACTGTGAGCAGCGTGTCGTACTTCAGAGTGTTTGTTGTCCTTATTTTAAAGTATCTGTTCGTGCGGGTTTTACAAACATCAGAACAAGAAGCCAGCTGAACATCTTCATTGTCAGCAGGTTTGTCCAGAGTGGGGAGGGTGGTGGGGGGTGGGGTCAAAACCCTGTTTAATTACATCAAGTCAAATTAAGTCTGCACCTTTATTCTAATGTTGGACATGTTCAATCAGAATTCTATGCAAAGATGTCGCCACTCGGCTTGTTTGCTGTCTGAGGGCTGCTGCGCTCTGACACGTGTGTGCGTGCGTGTGATTGTTTTCAATCACATGTTTCTGTGAGTTATTTAGATGTACAGTTTTAGTTTTGAGCTCCGCCCCCCGTGTGTGTTTCGTTTTGGGTTTTATTTTATGAATATATGATCAGAGGAGCACAGAATAAGTTGTCTGGACCTTTAGGATGGAGCTTCAACTCTGAGTTTGAACCATTATGTTAAAAAAGTCACTGTGAACATGCAGACATGCTATTTTCTTCCCTGTATGCCAGCTGTAGGTTCAGGGTCCAGTGGGTCAGAAGTGGTTCCTGTCGAGGAGAACTCCACTGCTTCGCTCCTCATTTCTTAAAGGAATTGATTTGTAGCATCGTTCCCTTTGAACAGAACCCTTGTAAAGTCACAGGGATCCACACGAGCTCACACCTTCATTCCTTTTCATCGTGTATCGGACCAGGTTAAAGTATCGGAACCCGTTAGAACCTGCTGGTTTTTGGTGTTAATCCTTCAGGATGTGTTGTAAGACGTTCCAGTTGTTTGCAGGAAGTCTTTGTCTTTTCTTCACTCTTTGTGTGTCGCTTTGAACGGTTTTTAAACTTTAGTCGAACAAAGCTTCTAGATTTTTTAAATGAACATTTATATGAAAAGTAGGACTTGGGAGAATTAAGATTAATTTAAATTTTCAGAAAATGCTGTGTTTTAAATGAAGCCATAGAGAGCTGTGCAGATTGAAGGGTTGTGCCACTTCAGGATAAGCTTTTATTTTACTAACACGAAAGAGGACCGATAAAGTCGGATGACAGTAACTGCAGAGAGTAAATGTACAGTGGGTCACAGCTGAGCTGGAGAAGAACAGAAACGTGACTGTTGGCCCGTCAGAACCGCTGACTGCTGTAGAAATGATCAACTGTTTGTTTTGGACTTTTGGGATGTCTGATCTGGAAGCTGCAATAAAAGTTTTGGAACAACACCAAGTGTATTCTGTTTTTTTTATTCTTCCTCCCCAAATGCAAAGTATAGGTGATTATGTTTTTGTCTCTGTCGTGTTTTAGCAAAATATCTCATGAACCTCTGGACAAATTTTATTAAAACTCACAGAAAAGTCTTTACATGTACATGTACAACTGATTAACTACTGGAGCCACATCTAGTGAAGATGGCTGCCATCGCCAGCTGATTAAGTTTCTGGTGTTTGGTAGAACACTTGTTTAGAGCTGTCATTTCTTACCAGGGCCTGAAGCCCGACCCAACTCAAATTCGGGCCAGGCCGGGCCATGATAATGTGCTGGATGGGCGGGCCAGGTCGGTGTCGGGCATTTGTGTCAGCGGATCAGCCGCAATCCAATTACATGGCAACATGGCTTGCCGTAAAATCCAATTACTGTATATGACAATATGAATTGCCATACCATCACCAGCTGCACGCTGCCATTTCACCACGAACTGACTGGACTTGAAAGATGTAAAATAAAGTTCAGTTAAGCTTCAGATGGGACTATACGGCCAGGAAGTGATCCATCGCCCAAATGGACGTTCAGCCGCTGCACTCAGGTGCGCGTCCGACCCAAACGGGTGATCTCAAAGCAGACATGTCAGAGCAGTTCGTATCTGAATAATGCAGAATGCAGCAAAACGGGGATTTTATTGCTCTTTGACGGCCATGAAAGGACAAACACCCCCTCAGCTTTGATTTTCTGCCCCTTTTATTCAGCCACGCATCACTGTGGTAAAGTTGGTTTTATGTTGGACGTTGGACATTCGAGTCTTTGGCTCCAGCGGCGTGTTCCTCTCGTTCGATCCCATGCAGGCAGTCTGATTTCAGACGCGTTAAATGTTCATTCATACCGACATGAACCAGAGAGTGAACATTACCATTTGCAGCCACAAGAGGGCCCTCTAGATTTTGACAACTAGATGTTGTTCCTCTTCTGTTAACACCCGGCGGAGTTGTTCAGAGGCGACACCATGGATGGTAACTTGCTTGTCAGACTCGTTGGCTTGTTAAGATAATTAATCCTGTTCAGGATCCCAGGTTTGTTCTGTGTGTTACTGTTATTCCAGATTAAATGGCTCTTCTTGCACTTTATGAAATACACGTTTAAATAACTGAAGAGACGTATAGTCCAGAAAATACAGTAAACCTTTGCTGCTTTTCTTTAAGTAGTCACTTCCAGGGTTTACTCCTCACCATTCACACTAAACTAAAATAGAAAAGTACATTATTGACCTGGTATCATTTCACTCATCTTTTTCATCACCTTTTAAACTAAAATACTACTGGAATCACTTTGTTTGCAATTCTTTTCTTGGTTTGTAAATTGTAAGTATATATTTTTGTAATAAAATCACATAAAATTAATTTAAGGTTATAATTCTTTAAAAAAAATAAAATTTGACTTTATGGCCCAATGTTTGTCATATTGTACTGAGTTTTAAATTACGAAATGACATTTTGTACATCAGTTAAACCAAATGAGTTGAATTGTGTCCATTTGGCTTGCCACAGTGTGTAACAGAATGCAGCAGACCTCCAGCAGAACCATTTTCTGAATGAAGCAGCCATCAGAGCTGACCAGAACACAGTTAAACATCACCATTTACATCTACTCAGGTAAAATCAATAATTTAACTTCAACGTTCACAAAAATATGAACACTACTCCAACACAACACAGATGTGCAAAATTTGGTTTCTCAACCACATAGTTCAGCCAAGGTGAATGCAACACAAAAAAACTTTCATTAATTGAAGCATTTTTGTACGTTACTGGTTGGACACAAGTGAATCTCCTGTTTAAGATGGTGTTTGTAATTCTTCAAACTGTTTATCTGAGTAAGGCCTAGTGACAAAGTTCTGTAGGTTTGGGTAGAAAGCGCAAGTATTTTTCTCTTTTGCTCTTGTCTCCATGTCAACAGATGTGCAGCATCTGTAAAAGTGACCAAGTCATAGTCATTTATGGCTATTTTTAAGGTCAGTGTGAGGATTTGTGTCTCCTCCTTGTGGTCTATGTTCACGTATGATTGTGCAGCTACCATCCAGGCTGTCACATTGTAAAGTTTGCAGATGATACAGTGGTGGTGGGATGCATCACAAACAATGATGAGTCCAGCTACAGGCAGGAGGTGGAACACCTGGAGAGCTGGTGCAGGAAGTACAACCTTCACATCAATGTGAAGAAGACAAAGGAGATGATTGTGGACTTCAGAAGGAACAAAAACATCTACACCCCCCTGAACATAAGAGGATCTGCGGTGGAAGTGGTCTCCAGCTACAAGTACTTGGGTGTACACCTGAATGACGACCTCAGCTGGAGCAACAACACCACCAGCCTGATCAAGAAAGCTCATCAGAGACTCTACTTCCTCAGGCGGCTGAGACGAGCTGGTCTGGGAAGCTCAGTCCTCACCTCCTTCTACAGGTGTGCAGTGGAGAGCATCCTGTGCTCCAGCATCAACGTGTGGCCTGGAGGCTGCACAGCTGCAGAAAGAAAAGCTTTGCAGAGAGTGGTGAAGGCTGCACAGAAGATGCTGGAGTCAGTCTCCCCACCATCACAGACATCTACACCTCTAGATGCAGGAAGAGAGTCACCTGCATCATGAAGGACCCCA